AAAAATATAAAGTACAAAGTTTGAGAAGAATATTTTTTGAAAGTTTAAAAGAATAATGCAGTAGTCAAGCACAATCAATGAAGAAGTCCAAGTACAATACATTAAATTATACTTCTTTTGATTCTATAATTTTGATCTCTTCGAAATTCTCCCATGGTTTTTGCCGAACAGATGCAGTAACGATCTGCAAAAAGAAAAAAATTATTAAAAATTTTGTCACTTTGGATAAAAAGACAAATTCGACATTACTTAAAAACAATTTCACAAAAAAAAAGTTTGCTTTACTGAAGTGAAAACGAGCATACTTGTTTTTCTGTGGCCAAACAAAAACATAAGAATTTCGCAACAAAATGTATTCAATTTTTGCAGTGCAGCGCAATTAAACGTTTACTTTCGAACAGCAATTCATTATATTGGTATTAAAGCTGTTTGCAAATGTTACCTCTTTCTTTCCGTCAAGCCGAGTAAGACAGTTCTTTTTCTCGTGTTCTTGTAATGTCATGTCCTGTAAAAGTTTAAGGTTTTAGTCACCACAGCAGCTTTTTGAAAAAGTCAGTCATATCCAACTTTTTGTTACATCAGACTTGTTTGAATCTTGTCATATTTATTTGAAGTTTTCGCTGGAAAGAAAAAACTTTTATAGGAAAAAGAGTTCTTGTCGTAGTTTAATTGGATAAAAAAGCTTTTTTAAGAAAAACATAAATGCACCTCTGGAACATTCTAATAAAAACAAATGTATTGCATTTCTGTAGCATTCTCGAGGAACAGAGTGCTTCTTACGTTAGAAATTACAAAAAAGTGAAAGAAAGTTAAAATCTTTGAAAGCTCTCAAAGTAGCTTTGAATTTGCAAATGATTCAGTTTCTCAACTGGAATAATAAAGAACGGAATGAAATTGAACACAGTAAAGCGTCAATATTGTCATTTTAAAGTTTATTCAGTTTTACTTTGCACTGTGTAGACTTTCAAAAATAATTTCAGTTTGGAAAAAACTGCTTTATCTATGCTTGAACTTATGTTTTTTCTTTTAAGCTATTTGATTTCCTCTAAAATCAGCATTAAGTTTCTCTCTTAAACAATGGATATCAAGGCAGTACTAGTATAGATAAAGTTTACAGATTACCGTAGTTTTACAGGCTGACTCCTGAACCAAAATTTCAAGAACATAAGTATACCCAGGACCAAGTTCCTCTTTGGCGCTTTTAACATCTTCTTTTTCCATGTAATAGATGCCGTTACGTTCTGCATTATACTTGGCAACTGCTCGAGTTGCCATTTCCTTAACTCTTGATTAGAAAAAGTTGCAAAAGAAAAAAGCTACACTCTGTTTTTGTTGTAATATTATTGCAAAAAGTTTTTAGTCAAAAAGAAGCACTATGAAAACAAAATATCATTTCACTCTATCTGCTTACCTGAACTTTCTGATTTTGAGTATCTAATTCTATAAATCTTAAAGGGGATTGACCACTGGCCACCTTAGCAGCAGTAATTAGAAGAATCGTACTGAAGAAAGAACAAATCATTGCCGGCTACAAGTGAAAGCGTTCAACAGATGATTGAAACAGTTAATTTTTCACCGTTTTATATGCTGTTCAGTTCGGGTTATTTAAAAAAAAGGATAGAAAAACGAAAACGAAAACGGGAAATTCTAGTGTGAGAAATCGATAGTTGATGGCATAAGTGTTACATACGTGACAGTTTCCAGCATATTTAAAAATATACACTGAGCTGCGTAAACGATTTTTATAGGCAACCGCATAAAAATTTTAATTATTCGTTTAACAAAGTTTATTTAAGAGAAATAATTTTTTTTTTGAAGGTACAAGGTGCCAAGCCTTTTATGAAAAGAAGCATAAAGATCAACATGTAACCTTAAGCCTTAAACAATACTTTGTCAGAAGTAGACTATTTTTTTTTAAAAGATGTTCTAAAATTAGTTCTTTACCAAATTTTTTTTAGGAAAACAAAAAAAGTAATAATTCACAAAAGTTCTAGAGTCTTCAAAAAGGTTTTTATTAAGCTGATTTAAAGACGATAAAAAAAAATTAACCATATAACTGACGTACTAAAGCGAAAAAAGTGACAAGAGAAGTGGTACGACTGAAAATTTACCTTGTAACTTTTGTTTTTGTTACTGCTGCTGTAGATTTCGATACTGTTATTATCATTAATGTTATAACTGTTATTTATTTTTGCTTTTAGTTTTACTTTTGTTTTCATTTTCATTTTTATTTTCATTTTATTTTCATCTTTGCCTTTACCACCATCGTTCTCAGTAGTAGTGTTATCAATGTTTCTTTTTCTGGTGTTACCATTACCGTCAGTCACCAAATGAGGTAATATAAGAAATAAAAAATTTTTATTTTATAAGATTATTGCAAATGATTATGATATTCAAATAGCTTCAACTTTTTTCTTACTACATCGACCGCTGTCAATTTATGTGAAAAATGACGTCAAAAAACTGATAAAAGGCTTTTGCAGTCTTTTTTTTTTTCTAAGAAATACAAATTAGAAAACTGTCATATTTTTACTACTTTGCGAATGTGTTTATTATTTTATTATACTCGAGCAGTGACTACAAAAATCCTAGCTTTGGAGGTGTTTGATGATAATTTTTATTCAAAAGTTAGAAAAAACAAAGCTTTCGAGACGGGAACACGCTTGAGTCAAGAAGAACTACATCAAAGTTTTTGCGAAGTCTTGATATCAGTTTTCCAAGAAGTTTTATTGTCTTCTTACTTTGGTATTTTGTGTGTTCTGGCGTTTTGGTTCTGCAAGACAGGTAAGGTTTTATTACAAAGGAAAGTCACAGATTTTCTAGTAAGTGACTTTAAAACCATGTTCGACACTGTTGGATCTGCAGTTTCTTTAGACATTCAGTAATCTTCTAATTTCTAAATCTAAGTTCTCCTATAAAAAAATTTTCCACTCTTTAGTAGAGAAAAATTTGAAAAAAAAATTTTCAGTAAAATTAAGTGGTTAGAGAAGAAAGATGAGAAAGGGTAAGTAACTCCTGCAATTGTGAAACAAATTTTTTTCGCAAAAAAAGTGATAAGAATAACTATTCAACATTTTACAATGTTTCTTCTTTAGGTTTTGTACGAAGAGCTGAGAATACACAGTACTGCAAGTCACATTTGCACTAGAAGACCTGGCTATTTTTGCAGGTATCGTATTAATCGTAGTTTCAGAAATTCTGGAGATCTTATCTGAGATACATTGCAATCAACTTTAAAAGTTGTAAATTTTAGAAAAATTTGATGCAGTTTTGTACTCTTTCTCATCTGTCACTGTATTTTCCAAGTTGTCTTCACAGATCTTTGTCGACTTCGTAGTCAAAACTTTTTCTGATTTTCTTTTGGCAATCAGGATTACTTTGAAAAAATCTGCTAATCTTCTAAAGAAAACGCACTAGTTCCATTTCTGCCTTATATCAAGCACAAGGGCATGCTGTAGCCATTCGCAGCTTCCACTGTTCTTTTTCACTTCATTTGCAAAACGTTTTTCCACGTTTCCTTTTGCATTTTATCTCGACGAGTGTTTTGAGTAAAATGAAGAGTCGAAGACGAGAAGCAAAGAAAAAAAAATTAAGGAAAAAAGAATCCTTGTTTTTCTGCAAGAAAGACTTTCATTTTAACTTGGTAGCAATTGGTTTCACTGCCTTTAAAATATTTCTCATAGATTGATTGAAGTTTATTGACCAACTTTTCTAATCTAACTTTTCTTTTGTTTTAAAATATAAATTTTTTTGCCGCTTAGCAGATTTTTTTGAAGCAAAACTATAAGACAGCCTCTGTGGAGCCCGCTTTACAGCTTTTGTCACACCGACCACATCCATCATAAAAACGACCTCATTACTTAGGTCTATCATTCCTTCGCAAAAGACGACGTTGATCACTTTTAAAGAGTAGATCATTTAATAATGAATTGTCGACTTTCCTTATTGATTACGGCTATGTACGTTTCCTTCCAAATAAGAGGAGAGACGACGAAGGTTATAGAATATAAAAACATTAATAGCATTGATACTTTCTAGTTCGTAACAAAGTTTTGTTATGAATAATGCATTATTTTTCGCATTCACTTTACACCAATACATAAAAAAAAAAAAGAAAAAAAGTGTGTAACAAAAAATGCAAAAAAATTTTTTTTATTGATAAATAAATAAACCTATTTCATGTTTATTATACAGCGAATAGTGTTGTCGTTAAATCATAAAAGCACTATAAGTTTAGTTTAACTGCAGGTAATTACGCTTGCTTGCTCTTGTCAACCTTTATTTCCTCAAAACCCTCCAGCTGTTTCTGCAGAATAGATGTCGTAATAATCTGTAAACGAAAGCAAGCAGTAATTAGCTGTAAATGAGCAAATTTTTACAATATTTTTTTTAAAGCAATTTTAAATTTTTATCAAATCTAGTCGATCAAAGTTGAATAGCTTATTTGTAATTAAAAATTTTAATGGTCTTACTATTTTGTAAAATTTCACTAAAAACCTGTATAACTTAAGATAATATCGTTTGATTAAAACGCTTAAATGTTTTAACTTTTTTCACTTCTGTTTCTAATAGTTTAATTTTAATCAATAAGTGCTTCTTTTCTTTTCCTTTTTTTTTTTTTTAAAATTAAAAAGTTATTTGTTCAGTATTATATCAAATATTAAATGCATTATTTTTACACCAGTTGATTAATGTTTAGATAATTATAGCAGCCAACTGCCAATGAGAAGAAGAGAGTTTTAAAAAAGGTAAAATTGATAAAACCAAACAGATGAAAAACCTGCGTTGCAACTCGGTTTATATTTATTTCTTCTTTTTTGGTCTAACAATGGCACTGTATAATACAGAAGGAACAGAAGAGCAGTTTGTTTATTATCTCAAACTAAAAAAAAGTCATGCATTTATTCTTTCCGCTCTTTATCATCAGATCTGCAAAAAATGAGTAGGCGAAAAAACTGCTGTAAACCATTGTTTATATCAGTGATTTGAAAGCTAATTAGCTTTAGATTACAAAAAATCTGATGTAATTTGAGATTTTTTTTTGAAACCGTTGACTTGGTACGTAGAAGAAAGTCACTCATTCCAAACCAACCTGCTAAAATATTGTACCAAATGACCTACAGGTTAACTTGGTTCATTAAAGTCGTATAATTACGGTTACTTATAGTTAAATAAAACTTTAAGTTAGCAACTTGCAAATTCAAAAGTCTACGTTTAAAAGTCTTAGTCAATTAAAAAGTCTTAAAAAAATTGTTGAAACTTGAATGACATAAAGAGATATTTAAAATAAAACTGAATTACACTGGTAAAAATAGTTCTTTTTTTTAAAATTTTAATATATATTTTTAAGCTTGGTCTTACTCTTGAATATTTCTTCTCACAATTTATAATAGTTTTCTAGTTGCACAATTTTTTTAAAATTTGTCGATAGCCGCTTTATTAATTTCCTTATTAATTTTTTTTTTTAAATGACTCGAATTTACTCAAGATGTAAAAATTTTTCTAAATCTATAACTTATCAAACACATATTTTGCAAAGATATATGCTTTGTTAGCGTTTTGATGAAAATTGAATTGTTTAGTAAAAAAAGAATTTATAGATGAAAGAGTAGAGCAAAAACAAAAATAAAATAACTCGAACTTTTAGAACAATTTCATTATAAAGAGAATGTTGTTGTCTAAACTAAAACAGCAGCAAAATTAAAAGTAAAACTGTTCTGAGCCCTTTACCTCTTTTTTTTTTCCACAACTGAACTAAGTTTTTCTTTATATGTTATGAAAGAGCAATTTTCAGCTTATGGTTTTACCAACAGGTTTTAAAAATAATAACATTGAAAGCGAAGCTTTAAGATTGTTGTATTCTCAAACGTTGACTTGTAAAACAAAATTTCAAAAACTACATCGGTTCCAGTCAAAGCTTGTTCTTCAACACCTTCAATTTCCAAGCTTGTCACATAATAGCCATTGTTGTTACTCTGCACGTTATACTTGGCAACTACGCCCGTTGACAGTCCGTTGATCCATTACACCATTAACAGGAGCGGAGGAAAACCGACAGTCATCTTCTACGTTAGTTTCAAAAATTACACAAAAAAAAAATACTTGGCTTAGAAAAAGCATTGCACAAGAAAAAACAGCATTCTGTTTTGTTCGATTAATCAAACTTTTTGACTCAAAATATCCACTTTTTTTGCTGCTTAAATCTAAAACCAATTGACTACATTGACTGTAATGAATATAACAACTATAAATTTGCTAAAGACGAAATAAACCAT